ATACTCTTAGCAAACAGTCACAAGAGAGAGGCTTTCGTTTTTCTGATACTAAAACGAAGACTATACATTTTTGCCGCCTTCGATCAGAACATGACGAACCAAGATTGACATTATATAATTCACCTATTAGAAAAGTTTATTCATCAGCACGTTCCACACGACTCAAACTATTAGACTCCATTCAGAACATCGGCCTGAGATTGGCTACAGGCGCTTTTAGGACTAGCGCAATAAGTGCATTGGAAGTAGAAGCTGGCATTCCTTCACTTACCTTAAGAAGAGAACAACTAATGTATAGATATGCAACCTCCATAAAAGCACAGTCACTGCATCCTAATTACAAAATTATATATGATTCTGAATTAGATATATATCAAAATAGACCCACAATTACAAAGCCGTTTAAGGCTCGTATAGAAAGACAAGTGACTTACCCCGATATGTATCCAAAGAAGTTCTCCTCTGATCCTCCTTGGCAGTTCTCTGTCCCAAACATGAACCTGGATTGTGCATCGTATATAAAACAACAAACAAACCCAAATATATTAAAAAATCGCTTTCTTAACATCCTTAGCAGTTATCCTAATACAGAAAAAATTTACACAGATGGATCAAAAACTGAAAATGGAGTGGGAAGTGCCTTTGTGGTAGAAGATAATATTTATTCATGGTCCCTACCAAAAATATCCAGTGTATACACAGCCGAATTATATGCTATCTGGCATGCACTTCGATTTTGTGAATTTTCAACTAATCTTCAATTTATAATCTGTACTGATTCTCTTAGTTCACTCCATGCTATTAAAAATATTTTTAACTCTGACCCATTAGTACAAAAAATTCATGAAACATTATTTTTGATAACTGGATTAAATAAAAAAATTAACTTTATTTTTACACCAAGCCATGTAGGAATTTTGGGAAACGATAAGGCGGATAATGCTGCTCGCATGTCAGCAAACATCAATGAAATAGATGAGGGAATCCCAGTTAGAGATAAGGATATTACTGAAGAAATTAAGAGATTATATCTTAAACGATGGCAAGAAAAATTGAATCAAATACAGACAACATACAGATAAATATGTCCAAAAGTCAGTACCTATACATGGAGAACACCCATCAAATTAACAAGAAAAACACAAGTAATAGTAACGAGACTAAGAACGGGACATACTCACCTAACGTCGAGTCATCTACTAACAGGTCAAAATGCACCAAGATGTTCAAGATGTAGGTTAATACTCACAGTAGAACATATATTGATAGACTGCCCAACCTATAGACAAAATCGTTTAATTGTTGGAATTGAAGGCAACCTGAAAAATATCTTAGCTAATAACAATGAAACCATAAATAAGCTACTTACATTTCTTAAGTTAAGCAAATTGTACAATCAAATATAAAATACACGCAAAGAGATGACTTCTGCGGCTAATGATCCCAGCAATCGAAGCCGCTAAACTAAAAAAAAAAAAAGTAATAATAATAATCATAATCGCTTCAGCTGACGACTGATTCGTGACATTACGTTACAAAATTTTCCGAGCATTGGAGCATCTGGCAGGGCCGCCCTCTTAGCGGGAGTTGAGTTGATTTCATTTTTAAAAGTCGAGTGTAACATTTTTTTTACCGATTTTCTGTCTTTATTAAGCCTTCCGAATACGTGGTTAAAATTAATGACATTATGACTGAATCACCCTGTATATACCGGGTGGGGCATTTATCTTGAGACAAAATAATATTTCGGTTGGACTCGATTATTTCGAAAAAAGTTTCTGACAAAAATTGTAGGGCACCGAGAGGGCCATTGAAAGGTACATATTACACTTCCTGTCTAGACCGGAAGTGGTGTTTTCAGACCGGAAGTTGATTTCTTTAAATGGAAACGCCCATTTTTTACCACGGACTTCGATTGAAAAATGAAGAAAAAATAATTTCTTATTATTTTTTTGATTTAACCCATATCTTGACCATAAAAGCAAAAAAAGCAATAATCCTGAGACAACGGAGTACCTACCTTGCTGGGATCACTTAAAAAAATTGTTTCATACAAAAGCTGTAGGGTGAAAAGGGGGCTATCTTGTCTTTACCTTGAAAATGACCTTGACCTTGACTTCCAGATCGTTAGAAGGCCAAATTAAAACTTTTAAATGGGACCCTCATTTTGACCTCGAAAATTACAAGAGCGGGAAGTTTTACAATAAGATATGAATTTAACCTTGTAACATTCACTATCGGTTTATAGTGAATATCACAGTTTATTTATCTAAAAGTCAACTATCAAACAACTTCTTGAGACCTTAGCATTGAAATACAACTTTGTGAATACTATTAGTTAGTGTTGTTTCCACCTGTATACTACTATGTTGTTACATCTTGTAAATCTTTGTCATACCCTACAATTAGTTATAAAACAACGATGTACTAAACTGCATACCATAATTGTTTACTATTTACCTGTAGAACATGGAGAATCTTTGTATATAAATTGTAATGGATGTGAGAATATGTATTTTTAACTGTAATATCTTGTATTTGTACTATTGTCTTTTAATATCGTTGTGTAAATCGAATCTGGGATATCAACATATTAGGTTACGTGACTGTCATTCGTTGGAGGTTAATAAAGATTTGTTCTGTTAATCATAGACCATTGACATGTAAAGAAGGTTGTTGGTTTGTAATGGATCATAAAACGTAGAATAATGGTACCGTTCAGTTGCCAGTCGGGAAATGTTTTGTGCCCAACTAACCAATCACGTTGATTGAGAAGTTTTTTTGTAGAATCAAGTCAATAAAACGACTCGCGGAGCGAGTTAAAGCCTCTTTCATTTTGAACTGGTACAAAACTAATAGCTCGCGTGTGATTATAATAAACCGAATTATTTAAATTAATTTAATCACAAAGTGAACCAAGAACTACATCATAGGTAATTATTTAAATGTTGAATATTAGTTTCTTTATAATTGATCCAGTAAATTCCAACCTTGCTTGCTATTAAGATTTTATTGTGTTTTTTGTAAAACCTTCAACGATATGTGGCCACGTGCTAAATGAATTTTGTTTCTTCCATTTTCTCTCACCAGAGCTTACCAGAAAATGTCTACAAAATTTCAACAAAAATTAATTCTATTGCAGAAAAGTTATTCTAGAAAATTTCTACAAAAATTTAATAGAGGAAAATTTCTACAAAATTTCTACGAAAATTTTATAAAATTATTCTACAGCCTAAAGAGCTATTGTCGTAATTAAGTCTTAAGGACTTAAATTTTTGCTAATATTTGAGAAACCTCAAATAATTAATTGTGTATTAAAGTTAGGCAAAAATACTTGATTTTGTCATAACTAGTATCGTAGTTCAAATTTTAAGAATCTTAGTGAAGATTAAGTAACTAAGTTTGGACAGTCACTACAAGTTTAGAGTCAACATTCAGAAAATTTTCTTGGTAATCCTGGAAGGGAATAGGTTACATCCTGATCCCGGATTCGAGATAGCCGTCCAGAACGCCAGGACCGCATAGACGGAACACTCTGCCGAACACCTTGCAGAGAGTGAGAAATATACCAGTGAGATTTTTGTGTGTATTTTATTTTGTTGTCTCCATCCCGACCTACAGGGAGAGGAAAACGTTAAGGGGTGGTTAACCAATTTTTGTGTAGGTTAGCGCCCTGTATAACATCTTTTATCGTCCCTTAACGTTCTCCTCAAACTGCCAGTATATATGTTGAGAATTAATTCCTTAGAACCGACCCATTGCCCATTGCCGCCGCTATAAGAGCTGCAGTTCGCACTGTGTAGTTTGAACGCTGAGAGAACGCTATAACCTCAAGAACAAGATCAGGTATCAAGGTCATTTTAAAGTCGAAAAATAATACTTACTACCCTATAATAATTATAGCTTTTCCATATAAACAAATCAACTTCCGTAGTAGTCAGTAGCGGCCCCTGACATTGAGAATAGGTGAAGCATCTTTATTCATTGACTAACAAAAAAAGTGCCACAGGCGAAAATTTTTAATTAAATTTTCAAGGTCCAACGGATTTAAATGAATCTAGAAATATTTAGTTGCATTTACAATGTTATAGAAAAACTGACGTTCGCGAGAGATTTTCATTTAGATTTAAAAAAAATTGAAATATTAGTTCGGCTTGCGAACATTAACGCACACCGTATATGTATGTTTCAAAGAAGCCTCGTGGTTACGACAGCCTCGCATGACGTTCCAAAAATTGTTATATTCCTCCTTATTCCACACGCCCGACTTTACATCCACAATTAAACACGGCATACATAAAAGTTTTTTTAAATAAACACGTCCACACAACCACTTATACTCCACTTTTTTCCACATCGAGAGAATGCACAGGTCTCTCGCTATTTAAAAATTCCTTTTTGTCCTCAATTTTCCATATGGAAAATGGTATTTCCAATAAAATACATACTGGATTATACATACGAAACATTTCTACAAGTTATTGGTACAAAACAAATATTAATAAAGAACCGTTATAATCGTGCACTGGACGACGTATCGTATACCAGGCGATGGGCGATGACAATGCTGTTTCAATTTCTGCGTCATTCGTTTCCTCACGCCGTAGGTTACTCTGATGTTGGCCGACTCGTTGCCACGACAACCGCCGTAAACAGCGCTACGAAGAGAAGCAGATACAAACTGATTTCAATCTGCATCACTTGCGTATACTATTGTATGGTACGAGGTTGATGTTTGCACTCAACAAAGGCAATATTTTTTTAGAACGCGTTCACCGCGCAACTATTCTGTTTATTTCTGCTTATAACAAACAAACACAAATACATTTCCAATATAGAATTATACCTAAATTATAAAATTTATATAAAATTTAAAATAATTTTAAAATGCACAACCAAACTTTTAGGTGAAGCGGTACGTCACTTGCGTCATCTGGCGAGCCGCCACTGTTGTTAGTACATCATTATTATCTTTATCTTCTATGTCAATGTTGTAAGGAAAAAATATATAGGATTACATTGCACTGGCCATAAAGAAAAGTTTCAGTAACACAGTAAAGTGGCAAGAGTATAATCCTTATCATTATCATTATTATTTTCGTTATCTATAGTCATTAAAAAAGTTGAAAATGAACGGAAGAGACTCAGGAATGGCATATCCCACATTATATATTTATTATTTTCAGGTTTTCAATGCACTGCATTTAAGAGACCCACAAATAGTGAAATAAATATATTTGCCGATCAGAGTTATCAAGATTTTACAGAAAACATAACTATGTTTGAAATAGGCACTCAAATTGAAGTTATTTGTCCTTCATATACCGAAACATATGGTGAAAACGTACTTACTTGTATTGGAAAAGGTAAGTAGTTAGCTATGTTGTAATTTGATTTAAAAAAAAAATTGGTAAACTTTTAGCGCGTGTAACCTTTGTGTTTAGTGAACAAATTGTTACTATTACTATAAATAAAATTACTGTTCCAAACAAAATTACTATTTACTATTACTCGGTATGTCTATGATACTGATAGAAAGATAAATTTTAAATAAATAATCAACTTCTTGTGTCATAAGGTTGAATCAAGGAGTTGATGTTATAAATTTTGTGTTATCTAATCACAAATATTCCCCACTAAGAAAGTAGTTCACTATAACACTATAAGCATTATAACATATGACAAATTCGTAAATGTGTTTCAAATCTCTTATAAAGTACCATGGTTTATAAGTTTCTTATGCCCTTATCTACGTACATACACCTTTACTTAAGCAAATATATTCTGAAAATGTGTTATTTAAAAGAACTCTTTGGTATCTATTACTTAAATAATTTTTTAAAAATTTTACAGACAAATTACTAACACCAAAGTTGAGTTTAGTACTATCATGGTCTAGAGCTAAGGTATCGAATGCTCAGCTATAATCTAATACAATTAGGTAACTCTACCATTATCGCAAGCACTAAAAATATCATCCATAACACTAAGCAACGCTGTGGAAGTACGTACTATGAGATTTACGAAAACCCGACTGAGTTGAAGAAATAACTTTATATTTCATTAAATACCTACTCGTTAAACTGTTCATTAACAACTTTTTCTAATATTTTAGACATAACTGATAATATACCTACTTATAGGCCTAAAATGATTGATAATAAAATTAGATTAGATTAATTAGAATATTTGGGAACAGGTATCACATTTGCCTTTTTCCACTGGTGTGGTCCCAAATTCACATTTATTAATAATAAAAGTAATATGTTCATTTAAATGAGGTAAAATATAAAGTAATATTTTCTCAGTTAAACCATCCGGACCAACAGCATTTGATTTAATATTAAAAATAATTTTTTATCTATAAATTAGATACAGGAGAGAAAACAAATTCATCATTCTTGAATAATTATTAATCTTTTGGGAAACTGGTCACAAGCAAAATAATTTATTTATAAAAACATTAATATAAAATGGAACACCTGATCCGTCAACAATAAATCTCCTGGCCGATAAAAGTCACTTCACAAAAAGTCCTAAGGTGGGTATATTCAGTGGCTCGTCATTCATAGTCCTCTTGGACAGTAGGCAGTGGCACTGATGGGATGCTACTGAAAACCCCTAACTGTCAGTGGTAACAGACAACTCTTTCGACTGATGAAGCTGCAGTGAGGATCAACAGTAGTGATTATTGGCACTGGAGGGCAGTCAGCGAACTCGCACGATAACAACCCAGTGGGTTACGAGTTACGAGTGAATCTTTCTCGTTGTCTTGTCCAGTTGTAGTCCGGGCGAATTAGATTTTTTTTTCAAAAATCGAGCCTAACTCAAATTTTATGGGCTTAATTAAGTAAAAAATACACAGAATAAAAGCCCAAATTTGTGTATTTGTAGAGGTCAAGCGTCATATTGTTTATAACAAAAGAAAAAAATTGCTATTTTTTCAGTTTTTCACTTATATCTCCTAAAATAAGCTTCTAATCGACATGAGGTATACTTATCGATTTTGTTCCTGAGGAAATTTGCTATAAGGATAAGCTTTTGCGAAAGCTGGCAAAAATTTTTTTACATTGCAAAATTAGCAGTGAAGAAAAAAATGTGCAAAATTTTCAGCTTTAAATAAAAAGAAAAAATTTGACTGAAATTGAATAGTACTACAGGAAAAGATAACTGTTGGGGTGCTCAACAAATACCCGCAATCCAGATCCCCAATTTCAAAATGGTGGCTTACTGTAAAATAAAGTCGAGTGCTTATATCTTCTGCCAGAAGTCAAGATATCCAAATTCGGTATAAAAAGGATCGAAAGTTAATTGCATTTTCTCGCGTTTGCGTAAATTTCTGATTTTTCAGTTGCAAAATAAAAAAGTTATTAACAAAAAACGAAAAAAAAAACGGTAACTAGGGTCGTTATCTCGGCGGTTTTTTAATATACCGACTTCAAATCAATTACATCAAATAGTGCTTCAAAAACATGAATTTAAAAAAAGTGTTTCGACCCGATCAATAGGAGTCGAGATAATTTTTTTTCTTAAAAACGGTATTCTGGCTGTTCTATTTAATATTTTGTAATAAACTTGGGCTCGTTATACGCTGAATTTTTTTTGAATGG